GTGTATGGTTGTATGCATTAGCTAAAACCAGGAAACAATTTGTACAAAAATCAAGGGAAAAGTGTAGTCTTTAGTAAAAGGCATACCTGAGACAAACAAAACAAGCATTAACATCCAAAAAAATTGAGAAAGTACTGAACGGAATGAAACAATTCCATAAACTTATAATGTTCGGAACTAAACACATGGTCTAAAGCTGCTGCCATGTTTTTTTCATTTATTTCCCTTATTTGAACTCTTAAATACATGTGATGGAAGGAGCTTTTTTAAGGTGAGAATAGTCCATTACTCCGGAAGAAGTAACCTACAAATGTATATTATTTAATAAAATTTACTTGCTTGAAAACATTGGAAAAGAGAACAACAAACAGGATACATAATTGACTCAGATTTGTGTATACCTAATTTTCTGGTTTTAGAGGACATACAAACTACAGAACCAAACAAATAAAGAAAACAATACCAAAGATATATTCATCCACATTCAGCAAACAAATAGGATACATAACTGACCATGCAACTCTCCCAGTCCGAACAAAAAAAAAGGTATGTTACTTGGAAAAAACAGTAGCTACTCTTGTTGTACATTCGAAATTTGTACAATTGTATATCAGACTCTATAAAAATAGTGGCAATTATTTATGGAGAAACCTTGAGCCACATTCATGATGAAACTACTGAAATGCCAAAATTATTACTCCCTCTGTCTCACTCGATGGATTGAGTAACATCAGCCTTTATTAACATCTGTAATAAAATGACCACGTCAAATGTAATAGATTATGTTTCCAGCACACTCCAAAGATAGTCACAACATATCCTTTGCTTGGATAGGACTAAAAGGATGGTGTTGAACTATACAGCTCTTCATAATTCCAAATAATATTAAAGGTATTTGCTGATTTAAATACGTAAAATGCACAATGAATGGGGTTTTTCCCTTAAAGCCACATTCAAGATGGGGGGTTAGGAATGACCCCTACCTCGTATGTTAATAACAAATAACAAAACACATGTATAAGAGGTATGCAATGCCTACCCTATTCAAGAGTTTCAAGATTGGACATGTCCAATCTTTGCTAAAATTAACTCTTGATTAAGCCATAGCTTTCTAAAAATGTAAATGCATAAAGTATGTTAAAGGATTATAAATGGAGTTATCCCTCCTTTAAATTTCCAGAAAGTAGAAACAGAGGACTAAAGAATAATCACACCACATCTTCAAATCTATTTTCAGGCATCTTTTATTCTTAACTCTAAAATTAGGATATCTTCATTTTACCTCTTACTTCATTTGGTAGCTCTCAAAAGTCATGAATAAACATAATCAAGTTGCTCATTTTCTAAAAAATGGTGTGAATCTACAAAGGCTTGTATAAATTTGGATAAAACTCTTCTATATATTTAACCTACATAACTAAAGAATGACTAAGTTTTGAAGAATCGACCTCTATGCAATGATCTCACTTCATGGCATGTTCAATTACTAACAACTATACTTTAAGAGGAAGATAGACAGCCTAATTTTAGATCAGTGTTGGTCAGTAAATATGTTGCTCATTGGAAAGCAATTGAGAAATGATCAAAATATGATAGTGAACAATATAATACACTTTAACAACTGCACAGCCTGACACCAACTATATTCAAAGTCTAACTTTATAAATTTTTATTTTTCAGGATATATACAACTATATGTTCTCATAATTAAGTTCATACCTAAGTGATAGAATTCCTATGAAAAGAAGTAAGAAAATTAATAAATAAAATTCAGTTACATCAATTCTTCAAGCATATTATCAAACAACTTGACTACATTAGATGCACATAAAAAATCTCCTTATACCGTCTAAATGTTGGCTTCTTCTTAATAAATTTTGCAAGCAAACTTTTACTATATTTGTGCAGGTTCTTCATTATTTTCTGCCAGCTATTTTTTTTTCTATGGTGGATTATTTTTAGGTAGTAAACAATGATATTACACAAGAGAAATATACAAGATTGGAAACTGAAATTATATCAAAAGTCATTTTTAATGTTATGCCATATTGCTTACAATTATTGTCTAGTAGTAATAAATAATGTAACTCTTGAGTTGTTTAATGATGGACATATCAGTTACATAAAATAGAACCTACACCGATGCACATGAATTCTTACAAGAAGCGTGTGATCAAACAATCAAATTCATCAAAATTAACAAACAATTACGATTAAGAAGCCAAAAAGGTAAACAAAGTAAAAATTCAAACACTTCATAAGTGGAATGAAAACAAAGTACAAATTTAAGAACTTCAGAAGTAGGAAGAAGATGTCAAAGGCAGTAATCAACACCAGGACCAACAAATAGAGCAAAAGAACGAAGAACATAATTCAAAATTACTGACGTTCATGCAAAATTCTAGCAAAAACTGATATACAATAGGGCGAGAATGATATCGAGAAGAAGACTAAAATATATGAGCTGAGTGGCTGAATCTATATCCATCGCCACAACATGTAGAGTTTCCGATTCCTCCTGATCTGGAATTCTTCGAATTGTTTCTCTTGTCTCTCCCATAAAGGTGAAGAACGATTAAGGAAATCACAATCAAACATCGATAAAGTTACAATGGAGAATTTTTGGGGTGGAAATGAGAAGGAGAGAAAGTAGGGTTTAACTTTTGAACATTGATATAGGCAAAGAGCAACTAGGAGAGCATTTTAATTTGGGGAAAAACGTTTTTAGAGTTATTTTTATATTGAGGTTATTTTTTGCCAATTAGAAATTGGAGGGAGAATTAAATATATTGGGGGGAATACATTATTTTGGTGAAAAATATAGGAAAATTATAAGGCCACACTTGTAAAGTGTTGTTTTAAGAATTATAAAAATATCACACTATAAAAGCGTAGTCATATGTATAAATATGCATTGCTAATTATATCATGATGTGGAAACACTTATAATGTGTAGCCTATACTACTAAAGAGAACATTTTATAAGTGTTGCCAAAATTACCGTAGCCAAATGGTAAAAATTAAGGATATGCTTTAAAAGTGTAGCCAAAAATGTTTTAGGCGACACTTTACAAGTGTTGTCCAGATTTAGTGTTGTCTTAGGCCTAAAATGGTGTAGTGTAAGTAATCTATAATGAGCTAATTTACATATTAATATTTTAATTACAGTTAAAAGCAAAGTTAATGGACGTGTGATACATCTTTGAGACGTAAGGAACAGTACCACTAATAATTAATACTACCTCTTCTCAATTTATGTAACACATTTCGTTTTCTGAGAATCAAACAGATTAAGCTTGATTGGAAATTTGCACATGAAATCTTCAATTTTTTTAAAAATTAAATTTATATATTTGTAAACTACGTAAAAATTACTATAAGTCACAATAATTGACAATCTAAAATATTTAAAAGATATATAAAATATTTACGATAAAAAATAAACTTATTTGACTTTCGAAATTCAAAATTTGTACGACCTGTATATTAATATTATACACGTGTGACCAAATGTCCAAATCTTCAATCCGTACACGCACATGTGATTAAACATGGTGATGAGAGGCCATCCCATCTGTTTGCCTTACTTATAATTTTCACGGTAAAGACATAAATTTCCCCTTAAACTTATATTGAAAAGTCATTTACACGTTAAATTATCATGATGACATATTACACATTTTTACTATTCAAAAGCGAATTTAATACCACCCTGAGACGTGTAACACCACTCTCACAGGGTGTAGTGTAATACACTCGCCGCCATATCAGCGCTACTTCAACGCCATGTCAGAAATTATGATTTTTTATAAATTTTTTTGTTTTCTTTTTGTTAGCAATATTTTATACTAATTAATTATTAAAATTCTCTAATAAGTATGCTTTCTTCATCAAAATTTCCAACCCACTCCATCTCTTATCTCACGGAAAAAATTATATTCGGCTACCTTATTCACTATTGATTCTTTGTTCTTCACCACCGCCATATCACCTTCAATTCTTCTTATTCTTCACCATCCACCACTAAATATCACCATGACCATTTCTAATATAATTTTTTTCTTCTTCATCATCTTCAATTTCCATTTATTTTTTTTCAAAATCATTACCCAGCGCCACTCAGGGTCGTCTCAACAAGTTTGAGGGCCTAAAGCTAAACTTCATAAAGAGGCCCAATTTTTTCAGTTGACAACTATAAATTGAATAATTATAACATACTCAATGTAATCCTATAAATGAGGTATGGAGAGGCAGGATATATCCAAACATTATGAAGTAAGAATGCAAATAATGTAAATTTTCAATGAAAATTATATAATATAAAGTTAGAATAATAAAACATGACTCAAATTTTTTTAAAATATGATGATATTAAAATAGTGTCGCGATGAATTTGATAAGTTGATATAATAATATCAAAATATTATTGGTTTGGTTTTAGTGCTTGAAATTCGAATTAGACACCAAAAACAACTTTGATTTTTTTATAAACACACAACACAACAATATATTTTACATAATTTTGAAGGTTTGAACATTTGAGAGACTTTAGAATATTCAATAATGAAAGAATAAAAAATAGTGAAAAGAGAATAAAGAAAAGTAAGTATAAGAACACAATATTGTTGGTTCATGATAATCCTCATAATATAACTAGAAAGGATAGTCACATGTGAAACTAGAAAGGATACTACAATTAACTAGCCACATAATAATCTAGAAAAAATACTACAATCAACTAAACAATATTCAATTTCTCAATTATATTTTCTATACAAAAAAATATTTTCAAATTTATCAATACATGAATTTTTTTTAAAACTATATATATATATTTTACCCTTATTTAGAAGTGCCACTTAAAAAGGACCAACACTGCAGCTGCTCATTGTACTAAAGGCAGTACTAGGTGTACATTTAAAAGGACTAACATTGCATCTGTTGGTTGTACTAAAGGCAGTGATAATTGTACCTTTGGAAATTGTACATTTACACCACCAACACCCTCTCTCATTTTCTTTTCACTTTCTCTAGAACTTTCTCAAATTTGTAACCCTAATTTCTCTCCCTCTCAACTCTTCTTCCGACTTCTCAACTCTTCTACGGTGAATCGACCTGTTCTTTACTGATTTCGGTTTCTGTACGTCTCTCTGAAGGTTTCCTCAAGTTTTCTCTTTTTCTACGACGACTTGCGGAGGTTCTTCGTCATGGTTTAAGGTAAATTTCAATGGCGATTCTATCTCTTCTTTATTCTTTGTTGTTTGTCTAAACCCTTTAAATCTCTCTCTCAAGCTTGCCTGAAGATTTCTCTTTCTTTCCCACGACCTGCGCAGGTATTTCTTCATGATTTAAGCGACCCTAATTTCTCTCCCTCTCAACTCTTCAATGGCGAATCCAGTTGTTGTTCTATGTTTTTGGTTTGTCTACAGCCTTTAAATTGCTCTCTGAAGATTTGCTCAAGATTTCTGTTTCTGTCCCACGAGCTACGCAGGTACTTCTTCATCCTTTGAGCGAAATTTCAATGTCCAATCCATCTGTTCTTTCCTGCTTTCTGTTTCTCTACAGCATTTAAATCTCTCTCTCAAGATTTGCTGAACATTTCTGTTTAGTTCCCTTTTTTGGTATTCTGTATATACTGTTTTGGTCAGACAAGGAATGTTCTGCAATATATACTGAAGTTCTTGAATCTATGTGAACTTTAAAGTCAAAGATATGTCTATTTAAGATGCTTTTGCATGTTCATAAGGGAAAACATCAGTAACGTTGCAATGTTTATTGTTTTTCTGCATTTTCTCTTTTTATGGGTTGTCATAGGAAACGGCCCTTTTTGTTGTTATATCCATGGATATTCTCTTGATGATAGTAACATCTCTTCTTTACTGTTGTTCTCTTTCTCTACAGCCTTTAAATTTGTCGCTGAACCTTTCGTCAACATTTCTGTTTATTTGCCTTTTTGGGTATTTCGTATATATTGTTTTCGTCAGACAAAGAATGTTCTACAACATATAGTCAAATTCTTGAATGCATCTGCACTTTAAAGTCAAACATATGTCTATTTCAGATGTTTTTGCATATTCATAAGGGAAAAAAGGAGTAGAGTTGCAATCTTTATTGTTTGGCTGTATATTCTCTTTTCCTGTGTTGTCATAGGACACACGACTTTTTCTTCTTATATCTATCGCTGTTCTGTTGATGATAGTAACATTCCCTTTTATATAATAAGTTGTTAATTCTTTTATTTTTTACTACATTTGGAACCTAATTGGTTAGCAATATATGTTATTTGCCATGTGCCAATTTATGTTTCTCCAATTCCTACTTTGTCTTTTGTTTTGCTCTTTTGGTCATTCCTAATTTGTCTCCTCTACACCATATTAAGCCATATTATACTGTATGTATGTGCTTCAAACTTCTGCTGAATAATTCCATCTATTTGTTTGTTACACTATCTTTACCACCGAATCGCCACAACGCCTCCAAAACACAAGATTCGCTTTTACACTTTCACTTCTTCAAAACTTTGGCTTCCAACGCTTTCTCCATTTCTGTTTTCCCTGCTGTTTACGCTTTCCATTCTCCAAACAAATCCCTTGCCAAAAGGAAATACAATATTTCTTCTAATATATTTAATAATAATTCCTTTCATTTGTTCTGTATGTACTTCTCACTTATTCCATACTGAATTTGCTCAAATTCAATATTCCTAAATAATCATTTCCCCCCGCAGGAGATTGCGTCTAACTTGGCGATAGAAATAGCTGTCATACAGACCATCCCACTAGGTCTGCAGCAGCCTCTTCATTATCACCACCTTAGAACGATTCCTTCAGCTGCTCACCCAAACCTTATATACATACTACGCAGTCCACAAGATTCAGAGACATCCGACACGCGCTCACACGTACCTTATATGTTCTGTTTCATCATCTATACGATTTCCTACACCCACCAGCTATTCTCCCACAGTTTTCCTCAACTGTTTACTCCCGCAGCAAAGTGTCTGATAAAGGTCCTACCATTAACTTTGGGTAGTTTATTTGTGCTCCTAAGTTACTACTTCTCTTATTTATTTATTCACCATTGTTTGCGCGTCACTTTTCCTTCAAGTCTTTTAATTATCTTTGTGAGCTTTCTTCAATTTTCTGGTTTCCAACATACTCCAAATTCTGAGTGCCTATTAAAATTCATTAGCTGCTACAAATATCCCATGTAATATAATTAATGATTCATTTCAGATGTTCCATATGCCGCTCTAACTTCTTTCATATTCAATTTCCCGCATTTGAAAAAACTAGCTACTAAATCTATTTTACAGGAGATTGCCTGCAACTGAAAGGTAGAAATACCGTTGATACAGAACAGCCTGCAGGGTCTTTAATTGCCCACGCAAAGCATCTATACATGCTAGCCCGTCCACAACATTCACATACATCCTACATGTGGTCGCAGGTAGCTTATATGTTGTCTCCTATGCTCTAATTTACTGCTTAACGTTTCAAGTTTGTCCAATTTGCTGTTTTTCCTGGATAGTCCAAACTGTTTCTAAGCTTATCCTTTCTTTATTTCTGGATAGTTGTTTCTACGGTTATCCTTACTTTATTTCGGTTGCTGATCATTTCTTTTCCTCCTATTAAATATCCTTCCGATATACGAGCCATTTACATGTTATGCTTGCGTAAGAAGGAAACAATTAGCTAACAAAAAATGCCACTATAATACAGCATACACCTTCCATGCTCTCTGTTGGACAACAAACAATTATTACATTCACCAATAGATGTGACCTCTATTTCTAAGCAGTTTACGTACATTCCAAATTTATCGTTCGTCCTGTACTTTAGCTTTCTTTAGCTATGTCAATTCAAATTGCCTTTTTTCCCATTGACTTTCTTCGCACTCTATTCTTCAGTAACAACACAAAACCTCTACAAACTTGTTAGGTTTTCTGCTATCGTCAAATGCAAGCTAAAAACATTTAATTTTTCCCCCCACACATTTTCTACACCGTATTCTTTGGTGCGTCAATGATACAAAAGGTGCATCATCTCTCTTTGCTGCCTGTCCATTGTTTCTGTCTTTTTCCTCCACACACACATTTGTAAGCTATATCGTTTCTTTCGATCGCTTTCAAATGTCACTTGCTGCTGCTACTTACACTTTTTCTTTGTACCTCATTTTATCTGTTCATTCACCTCTGCTGAAGTGTGCTAACAGATTTGCACATGAATGTACTTTCACTGTGACAGCACTGTTCTTTCTGCTTTTATTTGTTGCTTATTCTCTGTTTCTTTACACAAGATACAACGTTTATTATCCTTCTGCAGTTTATACGTGAACTGACCCAATAGTAACAGCTATAATTCTGAAGTAGTGTACTTGTTCCACATTCTTTCGCAAACTTCACATTAAGGTTTGACCAAAATTTCTCTTCTCCAACTTTCTCTCTTCAGAATGGACACTGACTGATTTTCGTGCAATATTACTATCAGCTGTTGTTTTCGGCTTGGATAAAACCTTTACATAAAACCTAATATACAACTACAGTTACCTACCAAATACACTGCCAATGTTTCGTTCAGCAACTTCAAACTTATTACCTCAAACCTAACATTGGTTTTCTTTAGCAAAAAACTATCTACCCATCAGAGTCAATGTTTGCTCTTTTATTTCTTCTCTTTCTGCTTCAGATTTCTATTTTCTTCTATTCTACATAGAGGCTCACCTCTTGCATGGCAGTCGTTAGATGGATAAGCTACCTTTGCCTTTTCTCTTCTCCCAACATTGCTGTCACTCTTAGTAGTCTGTTAGCATCTACATGTCTGCGAAATTTTACCAAGCAATTATTTCAGGTAACAAACATTTAACACTTATAGGATGGATTGGTAACAACATAAACCGGTAAAATATCAACTGTTTCTTCTTTCTGGAATATATTGCAGAAAAATTCAGTAATTTTAAAGAGAAATAACAGACAAACAAAGCAACTGATACCTAAAGGGCCAACAGCGTAAAGAATAACATAGGAAAGGTGAACAACAGGAATAGAGCTCTCACTTTGCCTACAGAGTACCCGTCGTCCCCTCATTTCCGTTCTCATCTGACACATTTATTCCTCTCCACTGTCATCTAACAAAAAAATTAAAACTCATTTGATTTCCCCTTAAAATATGTACATGCTGATAGTTTACGCAGGAAGATGAAGGTAGAACAAATTGTTCATGGCTAAAAATGCCAAAAAACATTTCACACATGATATATACAATCATAATTCAAGTAGGAAAAAATTTAAAAAAACAAATGAATGTAGCCAAAAATTTAATAGTTCAAATTTTACACCTAAATGTCATGATTGACAAATAACTAATTGCACCTACATGGTTACGAGATCAACATAGAAGCAAAAGTTAATAGTAGGATACATGCTATGTGCTCTTTCATGCTTCTCTAATTTATGTTCATTGTTTCTCCTACCTTCCTTTGGCAACAGTTGGTTAATGCTTTCCTATTACATCAAAAGGTCACTTCTACACTATGTTGCTCGGACTCTTCAAAAATGCCAATGGATGCATGTCGGATTCGCCAAAAGTAGTGTATTTTTGGAGAATCCGAGACGGGTGCGGCATCAAAAGTGAAGAGTCCGCGCAACTAAGCTTCTACAGCTAGAAAGTCAATTTTACTCTACGTTCCTGCTTTCCTTTGATGCTTGTTCCCTTTTCCTTTAACGTGCTGGAAAAAACTACTATTTTCATGCAACTTCATTGTGTATGCTCAGTTTTATGCGTCATTATTCTTGTACTTTTGTTTTGCACATGTGCAATGCCTGTATTACTTCGAAAGGCATTCTCTAATGTAATTTCGTACTTATGTGACCTAATTTTACATTTATGTCCTGCCTTTCTGTTTTCCTGTCCACAACTTATCTTACTTGATGAAGTTTTGTTTTCTCATATCGTTCTAATTGTTTATAGTTAATGTATGTTCCTTGCAGCTACACAAAAGATATACAACACACCTTTGGCTTTTCAGGCATTATTTGTTTGCAGTACTGCAAAACAAGGTAATGCAATACTTCCCTAGCTCATTTCTCTATTACAGTGTTTACTTTACAACATGAATTTTGCATAATGTTTCTTCTCAAATGGTTATTTTCATCCTTCCTTACAACAAATTAGTACACCTACATATGAAGAATTTCATCTAATTTGCTCTTGCATGTTTCCGAATAAAACTAAACACACACATTACTTTCCATTCTTTATCCGCATAGTACTGCTACGGAGATTTGTGTGATAATAGTTTCCCTTACTTTCATTCCTCCAGTAGTTTTTGTTCCACTACTTTGACTTGCTTTGAGGTTAACAACGAAGCTGACCAAACAATCGAATATGCAAATGAAGTGTTTGGTCAAAGTGTTGATCTTCAGTATAACTTCTGTACAAGCTGTAGACATCATCATCCTTCACCAGAAGCTTTACTATTCACTTCTACAACATCATCATCCTTACCTTCCAAATCTTGTACCATTTTTTAGATCACTCAAACATCCACAACACCATTTCTAGCAGTTCGTTCCTCCTAAAGTGATACTTGACTTTCTAGCTCTTTCAACTTTTCCAAATACAACTTCAGTTTTGCCTCAACTTTAGCTGCTTCATTTTTTAGCTGCTCATTTTTCCTCTGCACATCCTTCAATCAATTCTCCATCGATTGAAGAATATGCAGAAGAAAAATGAACAGCTAAAAAATGAAGAAGCTAAAATTCAAGTAAAACTTAAGATGTATTTGCAAAAGTTCACACACTTGGAAAATACATTATCACTTCAGGACAAAACAACTGCTAAAAATGGTGCTGTGAATGTCTCACTGATCCAAAAAATGGTAAAAGATTTGAAAATTCAGGATGATGACACTGTACAAGTGAATAGTAAAGCTTCTGGTGCTAATGGAGATTTTCAGGAAAAACAATTCTCACCACCTGCGCCTCCATTAGTTCATTCAGCTGCAAATGGAAATGGAAATGGCTGCGGTAAATGAACAAATGAAGGTATTATTATGCTTATATTGGTCTTGTTCACCTTATTTTTACAATTATGCACTCAAATTCTTGATGGTTTTCAATTTCAGTTAGGGACTTACAGTTATTGAGTGATAATTTTTGTCCTATGCTTAAGCTTTACTTATCTATGAATCCATTTCCAAATTTTTGCTTGCCTTTCGACCTAAACCTAACTCCTGAGAATTTATGTGCAACTGCAAATTTGGTGGACACTGATATAGTAATTGCGTGCAGTGAACATAATTGGTGTTCCTTTGTTTTAAATTTGGAACTGTAGGATTAATATGGTCACATGACTATAGCTGCAGGTAGTCGTAACACAGACTTCATTTTTACAAAAATCAATCTGCTTAATTGTGCTGATGTCCAGACATAGCATCCCATACCTTCTGCCAGTGGTTCTGCTCACGTGAATAGCAATGTTTCCAACATACAAAATTGAAGACACCAGTCACAGCAAGCAGGTACAAATGATTTCTCATGCTTATTCCTACATTTCTGTTCTTATTTCTGCCGTTCAACCCATAGTTCAACTTGTTTCCCTTTCACAGCTGAGAATATCAATCCTTGTGCTTTTATGTTCACAATATCAATCCTTCTTCTATGCAAATTGACCAACGTATTTGGGCCTATATGTTGCATTCTCTATGGAATTTATTATTCTTCATTTAACAAACTTTATCAACCATACTTCATTGCACATACACCTTAATGGAACACCATATGGTTTTTACATTGTATCACATAACATTAATTGCAAAATAAACGCAAACTAGCCTTTTCAATTGCTCTCTCAACCTGTTAAAATAATTGTAGCAGCTTCACATATTTGCAGATTAGAATTCTGAATTTCTTAGTCATCAAAACGCAGCAAATGAACTTAACTACAGAGAGGAGTACAAGGTACATTTTAGCTCCATGTGGTTTAGTCACAACCTTAGTTCTCATGCTAACTTCCTAGGTATAGAATAACTGCACTTCCTTTTGTCTCAGTTCATTCTCCATCCATACAACTGCAATTTCACAGGCAAAGCACATATCATCGTGCAGTCCTGCTGATCTGCTCTCCTGCAGAAGAAGGGCACAGAAAGATCCAGCATTTATATGAAAATGTAATGAATTAACTAATGGACTACATAGTCACACCAGCGCAGATAAAGTGTCAACACTAACCTAGGTAACTCTGTCAGCTCCATGAAAACTGCATATATTTTTTCTCTTAAGCATATTCTCTCTAAATTTACAGTTCAAGTTTGGTAAAAATTTAATCTTCTATATTTGCTTGCAACTTCATTTATTTACTTTTCAAATATATATAAAGCTTTAGCATTTTTGTTCTGCTTAGTATACATAATTCTACCCATAATCATATAAGCTCAAATCATTCACATTTAAAGTCCCTAATAATGTCAAATATACATTTATGAATTTCCCTTACTATAGGAGAAAGCTACAACAACTATCATTCAAGTTTTGCATGTAGTAAAGGAAAAGGCAAAGACACCGAAAATATTCTTTACTCAAAGGTATATAATATCTACTCTTCTATATTTCATATATGTCATCAGTTCAAAGACAGAGTTCATATATATTTTTAAACAACACAGTCAATTAGAGCATACAGTGTCCTATTTTCATTGCAGCTTTTAACTTGTTCTTCTTCCTAATTTTCAGAAAACAGACATATATTATATATCCTAAAGCACATATTTTCTCTTCCATTGTAGGTCAAAAGTTTCCAATTTAGAGCAAAGATAAATCTGCTTGCCCAACTTTTTACCATCAACATAATAATAATCTATAGCAACATCACCAAACTACTGCAACAATGACGTTGTACGCACTGCTTCAATCAAATGGCACCTCATCGCTAATATAGATGCTGAAGTACCAATACTGCAGCAGGTTCGACAATTTTCTATTTGTTTTCAAAATCCCTCTCTTGTAGTTCTTATGAAATGAAAATGACTTCTTACTTATACACAGTACAATCAATCACATAGACATATTATAAAATCATTAACTGAAAGCAATTGCTCTCATGAGAAAATTTTGTAGCTTGTTAGGACTAAATTACCATTCTTAATAAGTGAGGGCTTTCTCAGTCCAATAAAATCAATAAATTCGTTACAACTGTACATTTAAGGCTACTTTTGTAAATAGATAAAAATTTAAGCCCACTTCTATTTTGCCTTTTCAATTTCCGCATCATTTAAGCATTACAACAACTGAAGGTTCTCTTCTGTTCACACCTATTTGCTACCTCCATTGCAGCTGCCACCTCTTATTTCTTTCTTTCTCTACATATGTGAATATGGAAAACTTCGTTGGAGTTCATCCATCTTCCAAACTAACAAAGGTATGCTGCCTGCCTTTGCTCTGCTCATTTTACTCTCTTTCCTGCACAATTACTTGGCTCTCTGTTTGCTCTCTTGTAGTTCTTATCAAATCAAAATGACTTCTAAATTATAGACAGTACAATCAATGACATACACATATTATAAAATCATCAGCTCAAACCAATTGTCTGATGAGAAAAGTGGCTACCTTATTACAAGTAAATTGCCTACTAAGTTCATGTCCTTTTGCAAAAGCACATCTTACTGTATATTTGGTCATTCTCTTCTACTCTCTATATTCATTTCGGTGGGAACAATAGGGCTCTTATCAAATGTAATTATACCTAAATGGATTATATGATATAAACGTCATGTCCTCTAAGCAAATCAATGTAATCTACTGTAGCTGCTCACTGTACTAATGCACAAATGCCATTCAATTCTTTCGTTAGTTGCCTTACTTAGTATTGATTTGAAGTATATATGTCATGTCAAACAAGAGGAAAACTCCACTCTATGTCTTACTGCTTGTAGGATTTCTACACTGCTCATGTGCATAACAAATGTCTACTGAATAGGTGAATGAAACATAATTCAACGGGAAAGAACAACTCCTTAATATCCAGAATAAACTACAGTAGTTTACCTGAAACAACGAGACAATCTCTTTTGTTGACACGTATTTCCTACCTCCATTGCAGCTGCCACCTGTTATTTCTTTCTTCCTCTACATCTCTGAATATGCAAAGCTTCTTTGGACTTCATCCATCTTCCAAGCTATGAAAGGTATGCTGCCTGCCTTTGCTCTGCTGATTTTACTCTCTTTGCTGGACAATTAGTTAAATCTCTGTTTGCTCTCTTGTAGTTCTTATCACATCAACATTACTTCTGAATTATACACAGTGCAATCAATGACATAGACATATTAGAAAATCATCAACTCAAACCAATTGTTGTCATGACAAAAGTCTCTTGCTTACTAGGAGTAAACTGCCTACTAAGTTTCTGTCCTTCAGCATAAGCAAATCTTACTGTATATTTGATCATTCTCTTGTACTTTCTATATTCATTTCACTCGGAACAAAACAGCTCTTATCAAATGTAATTATACTTAAATGGATTATATGATATAAATGTAATGCCCTCTGAGGAAATCAGTGTAATATACTGTAACCATTCCCTGTACTAATGCGTAAATCTTACTCAATTTTTTCTTTAGTTGCCTTAGTTAATATTGATTTGCAGTATGTATGTCATGTCAAACTACAGGAAAACTCCACTCCATATCTTACTTCTTCTGGGATTTCTACAGTGCCAATGTCCATAACAAATATGTAGTAAATAGGTGAATGAAAGATAATTCAACAAGAAAGAACAACTTCTTAATTTGCAGAATAAACTACAGTACTTTAGCTGAAACAACAACACAATTTTCTTTGTCCAGCTCCTCCACACTAAAGAGACAGTTAACTTTGGGAACTCCAAAGATCCAACAATTTTACCCAATGTATTAACCACATATATGGTTGTCCCTTAGACACAACTGCTATTTACGCCTTTACCACATATGTGCCTTTTAATATATGCTCTACTCTTGGTAAGCTGTCATTTGACCGTTTAGTTAATTAGAGTGGTCTCAAGAATGCAATCTTCATTTGAATCTTCGCTTTTGCATAGTTTTAACTAATACACTGCGTACTTGCTAGACGTTATGTAGGATTTGCGAACTCACACTTCTTCAACTGCTGAAATAAAGAACAAACTTCTCACTGACAAACGTAAGTTTCTGCATTTTCCTACTCTATAGTTTTTTGCCTCTATTACTATTCTGCTATATTCTTCACTCTACATTGTACTCTCTTATTATGTGTTCACTGACCCTAATCGAACAGCAAGATATTACCTTCAATAAAAGAACTTCGCTAAATACTTGCCCTGAGCTGTCTACCACTAAACAGAAAATAAATACAATCTTGCCTCGACAAACAGCTACTACCAAAAAGGATTCCAAAAAAAGGAGAAACCCAATTTCTTAGCATAAAATAACAACTGAAAAAAGGGTAGCTCTTCTGCCACTACGCTAGCCAGAATACTCTGCTCAAGCACATGCTCTTCCTCAAAATGTTGCTGCTCTCCATTTTACAAAAGCTAACTGTGGCCGTCAAAGTATAACTCCACCACAATCTACTGTGTTCCTTCACAATAAACCATCACCTCTTACGTCAACATCTCAAAGGCAGAGCTTCTTCCACTTAGTATACTTAATTATTCCCATAATCATATAGGTTCAAATCATTCACATTTAGAGTCCCTAATAATGTCAAATACACGGTAATGAATTCGCCTTGCTATGGGAGAAACCTAGAAGGAATATGATTGAAGTTTTGCATGTAGTAAACGAAAAGCCAAAGGCAGTACTAATCTCTGTGTGCTTCTGAACTTATCACGCGTTCAAATGTATTTTACTTTTAACAAAATGCATTAGCTACCTTTACGCTAACAATTCGTACATTCAATTTTACAATAGAAACAAAATGGTAATGCTATACTATTTTTGCTACCTTACTAACCAGCTGACACATGATTTCATGTCTCTGTGTACGTATATATATAGATAGAGATATATATATACATGTATATATAGATATATATATATAAAGAGACAGAGACAGAGAGACAGTGTATATATATACACATATATATAGATACATAGATAGATAGATAACTTTTTTATTTCCTCATTTAGAAAGAACAATTAAACTACAACTGTCTTCTTCAAAATTCATGCAGTTTTGGCTGCCAATGAAATAATGCCAAAAAACAGACATACTTATTACATTAGGTAGTCAAAGGTAATGATTTTGTCTCTTTCTGCACTGCCAAATGTACTGATTTACTGTCTTTTCTGGCACAATTTCATTGGCACCCAAAACCCCATGAATTTCTAGGAAGACACATGTTTTTTTTTGGTCCTTTATAATTTCTCTATATTTTAAAAAAATAAATATATTAACAGATTAGATAAGAGTAAGGTAATATATATATATTATATATATATAGAGATATAGGTATATATATATTATATATATATATATAATATATATATATCCCATTTTCAAGTTTTCTTCCACATTCTGCTTGTCACCAAAACAGAAAATCAAAATACATCCAAATTACAGTTATTAGGTGCACAGCAATTACTATGGTCTTACATTTGTACTGGTATTACAAATCTAAAAGCCAAAGTAATAGCCTCCCTTCTGAATTTCCTGTTTGGTGCCTCATATTTAATGCTTTCAATATTATTCAATCTTTCATACATGCACCATGGATCCAGCAGTATGCTTTTACCTTCAGGCCCAACGTCATCAAAATATCTGCAGCATAGTTCTTTTCTTTTGTCTTTTTTCTTACTTTCTGTTTATTGACATTTTAGATAGCAACATGACAATTGACTTTTTCTATGAAAAATAGGAAACATTTTTGGTAATACTAAATGGTGCCTTTGGATATAAATCTGACAGCTTAGGTCTCTTGTACAAAATGTATCTTTCATGATACTAAGTCATACATAAGCCATCACATACTACCTTCAGTAAATTTTTTCATATTGTTTTTCTCAAATACATAGTGATTTGACTCAGGTTTCACAGATAATTGTTGTTGTTTTAATAGTCTGCAACATTTACTGTCCCTGTAACAGATCTTGTGTAAAAAAAAGATTTGTCCAACAGTACTTTGCACATTAATAATGCATGCACACTGATTTTGTGTCTTCAGTGAACTCCACTAAAGAGCCCTAATAGATTTACACATGACTCTACTTCTACTACAACAACACTGTTCTTTTCCTTTTCATTTGTTCTTTTTTTTTCTTTTCCCCCCGCACACAAACTTTATTATGTCCTAACTTGCTTTTACAACAGTTTGTTACTGCTTTGTGCCTACATCAACAGCTCATTTGTGCAGCTACAATGTGCATTTTACTCCACAATGCTCCTTGCATTTGATTCCTTCTTTTCTCTTCTCTAAACAAATTAAACAATCTTGCATATCCCTAATTTAATCAGCCCTGTTCATAAAACCCCAACAAAGCAAGTAGTTTGACTGAATATTCATGTTATCCTGCAGCTACTACTATTTGGTTAACTATCTTTCCTACAAACATGGTACTAAGAGTGAACATCAACCAAATAGAACCAGCAACACGAGATTGGATTTGCAAAGTTCAAATTGTCGAAATAGCCCGGCCACGAGAAAGCCTTGACAAGAAATGCACATTCCAAAATTTAATTTTGGAAGATGAAGAGGTTAGGTCATTATTGTATTTTACATTATCACTACTGCTGTTTTCCTCTTAACTTAATTAATCTCAACTTTCTATAACTCTTATTTTCAGGAATGCCAAATTAAGGTCGTTATGTACAGTGACGAAATCCAGCAGTATGCAGCTACGCTTAAACTCCTCAATACCTACCTCATCTCTACTGCAAAAGTGAAAGTCTCACCATCCTCATACGGCAAGCCAATACATAAATTTCAGTGGACTCTTGACAAGGAGACAGTAATTGAACAAATCCAAGCATCTCATGAAGTTGAAAAACCACTTCCACCGCCAACCAGGCTCAATATCACCAACTTTGACCGCATTCCCCATCTGATGGTTGATTCTGCTGCTGAAATAGGTACATCCATCGTACTACCTGTTACCAGACTGAAATATACATTTGTACTGCTGCAGAACACTTGCGAAATTTCATTATGTACTATATACGCAGATATACTAGCAATCGTTCTTCGTTGTGGTCCTCAAAAAACTGCAGGTCGCAGTCATCATAGGTGTAGAGAAATTACCGTTTGTGACGATCAGTAAGTATGACATTTCACATTGTACTTACCCATTCTCTGCAAATATTTTTCATGACTAACGACATTGTGCATTTCTCTACTGACATCATCAATTATCATAGTACTTACTCTTCTGTCCTTCTGTTCTGACACTCTCAGGAGAAATCAGTTTCTCTTCACTCTATGGGAGGACTTTGGAGAAATAGAAGGACATCAAATTTTCTCTAAAATGGCAACAGAGGCAGATCTGCTTGTAATCCTCGGAAGGAGTATAGGAATCTCTACTTATCAAGGTACATCTCTGTTCAACTTCTTACCAACATAATTTTATATCATAATAACAACACAATATACAACCTATCTGTTATACAGGGTTGTCACTGCAAACTAGGTACAATTCCACAGTACGTGTAAATCCTGATTACCCACAGGCAATGGCACTCATCAACTGGTACTCACATTTCACATTTATTCTACAGCTTTACTTTGCATCTAAATAACCTTCTAACCATATTATTTGGTCTAACAATAGGGCAAAAGAAAACAAAACAATGTTGTTAGGTTCTCCATCAGAGAAAACCTCGACAAGCTCATCTATCACTCCCATGATAGTCACTCCTGCTGGCCAACAATTTATCTCTATTGCAGAAATCTCATCAGCACCTTCTGTAAGTCATAACTCAACCTGCTCAATTACCAGTATCCATATTCATTATCTGCTTCTCTAGCTTTGCCTAAATGAGGAAAACTTGCCACAGATGGGAGTGTTCTATGTTGAGGCAGAGATGGCCATATTAGATGAGTTCCAAGACTTTTGTGTGCTTGAATGCTCAGGATGCAAACAGAAGAAACGTACAAAGGATAGAAAGGATTTTGAATGTCCAAAATGCAATCGAAAAACATCATTAGTACCTCGGTACTATACTTTTCTGGCTTCTACATTACACTTTCTACAAAATATACCGTAGATTATACACATATTTCTAACTTCCCTTCATTTCAGTTGTACCTTCCAAATTGATCTTATTGACAATACTGCTACAACTACAGCATCTATCTCTGCTGAATTAGGAGAAAAATTACTGTCCATGACAGCAAAAGACATATTTGACATAACTTGCACTAAGGTTATCTCTCATTCCCACTACCAACTTGTACATTTCAATGCCTAATCCATCTCTTCTTTACTCTTTTCTGTTTCTCTACAGCCTTTACATCTGTCTCTGAAAGTTTGCTGAAGATTTCTGTTTCTACCCCTTTTTGGGTATTGTTGAATGCATGTGCACTTTAAAGTCAAATATATTCCTATTCAAGATTTTAACACATATTCATAAGGGAAAATAGGAGTAACATTGCAATCTTTATTGTTTTTTCTGTATTTTCTCTTTCTATGGGTTGTCATAGGAAAACAAGCTTCCTCTTGTTATATCCATGGATGTTCTCTTCGTGATAGTAACATTTGTTCTTTACTGTTGTGGGTTTCTCTACAGCCTTTAAATCTGTCTCTGAAGCTTTGCTGCAAATTTCTGCTTATATCCCTTTTTGGGTATTCTGTATACACTATTTTGATCACAGAACAAATGCTCTACAACATAGACTGAAATTCTTGAATGCATCTGCACTTTAAAGTCAGAGATATGTCTATTTCACATATTTCGGCATACTCATAACAGAAAAACTGAGTAAAGTTGCAATCTTTATTGTTTTGCTCTATATTTTCTTTTTATGGGTTCTCATAGGAAATAGGCATTTTTCTTCTTATATCCATAGATGTTCTGTTTACTCTACACTGTCTGTTCTAACTTCTTACATTTACAGCGGCAATCATTGTCTCTTACTCATGTCCATGACATGCTGTCAAACAAAGTATTCGAAATTCAGCTACGGAAGTCATCTTGGGGCAGCTCAAATACCACGAATGCAACTTTGTCCATTCTTTCCTACATGGAAAAACAACATACTCCACAAAGCACTTCTGATAGGACTCCTAAAAAGATAAAGCCTTTGGAAATAAGTGAGGTAGAAGTCATGGCAACAACTGCTACAGCTGGTCCTTCAAATGCACTGGGAAAAATTGAACCACCCACACCAACCAAAAAGGTGTAACAGGTCAGTCTACATCTCACTTTCACACTACACTATAGCTCAGAATGATTATGAATTCGACATATTTACATTTACTGCAACAATTGCTGCTAAAGGTCTCTTCTTTTATCTGTAGTTTACTTTCTTTTATACACCTATCCACGTAATTCCTGTAAAACATTCTAAGTGTCCTACTTATATTATACTGCTGCTTTGGCAATTGCTCTAATCTACTTTCAAATTTCTCAAAAAAAAATTTCCCCCTCTTCTCTTTCTATTTGCTGCCTATATTAAAATTGCTTTGCTATCTATTGCCATATTTGCACTTTCTAACATACTTTAAAATGTCTAATTACAGGAACTCCCTCACACCATTTTGTCGCTTTTGCTTATGGTAGGGACAATATAATGACTGACTCTCCCTACGCTCTGATTTTTTGCATCACCAGGATTAGCTATGGACAGACAAGCTGCAGTGTCCTCTAAATATCATAGACAATGGCATGCTAATCTTATATACCAAAACTGCAACATGTAATATATTATTTTGGTTATATTACATTAGTTAGTATGTGCAAAGCGTTCAACTCCACATCATAATTATGTCTATTGTACATATTTTAAATATTTCTAATAGTACATAATATAATAGATCATATTATCACCTTGATTCCTTAATATTACAACATTTTTACCACCATAATATTTTTACTATTGGGCCCGTGCTTTGCACGGGCCTCCCTACCCTAGTATATATATATACACACACACACACACACACATCTTTGGGAGAAAATGGGGGGCCCAAGCGACTGCTTTAGTGGCCTTATAGTCGAGACGGCCCTGGCGCCACTACAGTCTACACTCATAAAGTTGTCATCTTCATCAAATTCAAAAATTGATTAATCTTCTTCACCACTTTCAATTTCCTCTTTTTTTTCACCCATTACCTAGAACGACCATACCCATAAAGCTGCAATTACAACAAAATTCAAAAATTGATTAACAACCAAAATTTCTTCAATAAAGTTAATTTTTTTTAGAAAAGATAGAAACAATCAACCAAAATCACCTAAACATAACTTAAGGATTTATTTATTTAGGTTTATGCGAAATTCTTTTTAGATTCTTCCTTTAGTCAAAATTATCATAAAATACAATTATTCACTAACAAATCTATGAGAATTAACCTAATTGCTAAATTAAAAAGAAAAGTTGCGCTTTGAGATTGTGATGTATAAAGAATGAAGAAGAAAAGATGTGAAAAAGAAGAATAGGTGTGAAGGAGAAGAGGTTTGAAGAAGAGGTGCGGGTGTAGGGGTGGGGTGGAGGAGGGTGGGGTGGGTGGTTAAAAATTGATTCTAATTATTATTTTTATTTTTATTTCTAACTGACGTGTTTAGTTTTTATTTTTATTTTATTTCTTTGCCACATCAGTTTTAAGGGGTAAATAAATTTACTTTTGAATAATAAAGGTGTGTAATATGTCATCATAATAGTTTAAGCGTGTAAGTGACTTTTTGATACAAGTTCAAGGTGGAGTTTATGTCTTTTCTCTAATTTTAAAGAACTTGTTTTAACTTTTTTTCCTTTCAATGCTCGTACTGGAGCCGGATTAATTAACTTGAAATCAAACTATAAGATTTCATTTTTTGTAAAAAAGATAATTTTATTTCTAAGAGTTCGTTTAGATTGACTTAAAGGTTGGTCAACATACTTTTAAGTCAGTTTTTGACTTATGAAAGTATTTGACAAATGTAAAATTAACTTAAAATAAATTAAAAAATAACTCAAAATAAGTTAGGAAGTATTTGACAAGTGTAAAAATAACTTAAAGTACGTTTAAAATGACTTAAAATAAGTTAAAAATCAAAAGTAGGTCTTCCCTACTTTTTTATTTTTTGATTTAAAAGTTATTTAAATTTGACTTTTTATTTTTGACTTAAAAACTATTTCTTTTAAAGTCAATCCAAACAGATTCTAAGATTCAAACTCAAAATCTTTTATTAAAAATGAATGCGCAAAACAACATATTCTCCTTACGATGACTAAGTAACATTTGATATGTTACACGTCATTTTTATTGAGAAAATTGAACAAATGACATATTTAAATATTCCTATTACTAGTCTTAACAGGATTCTTAAGTTTTCAAGTTTCAACTCGTAAAATTTGATTGACTAGTGATAATCAACCAATTGAAGCAAATACCTATTAAAGTGAAGTATATTTTATGTGTTTTACAGTGATAACATATTGTACTTTAAATAACTTTTCGCATGGATCAATAATTCCACTCTAAATTAATTAGTCTCTTCTAAATGTTATAAGTATTAAATTAGTTTTTATTTTGTAAGTGGTATCCTTTCAATGGGTAATGCTAAATGGCCAGAAATATTTGGCCAGAATTTGGCCAGAAATGTAAAAAGACTAGAATATCCTTATTTTAATTTTTGCATTTATTTCCTCAATACTTTTCCCTCCAAACAAAACTAACTTTTTTATATTTCCCAAACTCCTTGAACTACTAAAACACAAACTATTTGGCTGCCAATGAAAGTGAAAAAATGTTTTTGTGTGCGTATAGTTTATCAGATTTATTTTTAAAAATAAATATTGTTTAGTTAATAAAAAAATTGTACGCTTTAGTTAAAAAAATATTTTTGTAATTTTGTTTTTATACATTAATATGTTTTTCATTATATACCAAATTATGTTCAACATATACATAACATACATTCTTTCCTCTACCCCTCCCCTGAACTCAATTATGATAATAAGGTGTCAACGCATACCTTTGAAAAATTATTTTTTCGCTTAATATAAACTTCTTTATTGAAAAGAGACAATTAAATTTCTCATTAATAATAACTACAAATGACTATCTTATCTACTTAAGATTATACTTAATTATTTTGTAATATAAAATTAATAAAATATAGTAATTAAGCATAGATTAAAAGAGTTTAATTAATTTTTTCTTTAAATATAATCAACTAAATAGATTAGTCTATATAATGGATGTTTTTCAAGAGAAAAAATAATATCATTTTGGAAATTAGATATTTCTAAAAAATAACTGATGAAAAGACATTTATAACTATGTCATGAATAACACATTAGATTTTTATATCATAATCATTCCAAACAAGATTTAAGATATATAGAAATTGGTGAAATTATTTTACTAATTTTAACCATGAATACAAAATACAGTTACTCCAATAATATTAATTAATTGAGGACGTTTCAAAATAAATAAATAAAAGATCACTCAATACTTACTTATCAATTATAATACTTTAAAATAGATGTATTTTATGTATATAATAAATTACAATATGTTTAATGTGTATAAATAAAGTATAACATAACTAGGATATATATTTTTTAAAAATTATTTTCATTTAATGTAGAATTTTAATATTTCAATAACAATAATCAAAACTCAAAATACTTAAGAATTGATAGACATCGGCACATTATAGAAATACATAAAATTTTTATTAATATGTAGTTTAATTTTTTAAAATATGTAGTCTAATTTTTAAATATGTAGTTGTAAATACGTAGTTTAATTTTTTAAAACATAATAACCAAATATAAAATTTAAATATGCAGTTTAATTTTCAAAACATAATAATTAACAAATATGCAATATTACAACATTAATGTGTAACTATCTTGGGTTATTGTTAAATAGGATCTACACTTATGAACCATATGGTTTTTAGTATTTCTTTAATGTGTTGATGTCTACCAATTCTAAAGTATTTTAAGTTTTGATTGTTATTATTGAACTATTTTACATTATATATAAAAAATTATTTAAAATGTAATTTAAATA